ACATGTTTTTTGAGGAATAATACAACTTATACGCGTCCATTCTAATGACTTAGATAAATGAAGAAGGATTACCTATTGTAGAGATACAAGAAACTGAAGAGAATGAAGTGCAAAGTCGAATAACAAAAGACGAAAAGGATGATTTAGAACCAAATCTGAAACAAATTGGTCAATCAAAAGGTAGCTTTACACGCAGCCATTATATAATACTTATTAATTAACAATATTTGGCAATTTCACAAATATATATATATGTATACATATATATAGCCAAATCCGATGATACTAGTTTTTGGGATAAATTACTTGCTGAAGAAGAGGAAGAATTGAGAGCTTCGGACTCGCTTTCCTCATTTGATTCTGACGCTTCTCCATGTAATGACGAAGACGATGAAGAAGCATCAGAATCAAATGAGAAAAGCGAGTCCGAAAGTAATGATGAAGACGAGGACGAAGAAGACGAATGGGAGGAAGCCGGTGTCTTCACGCACGTGCCTATTAAAGCTAAACAAATTGAGCCTATGAAAGCGAGACAAATTGAGCCTATGAAAGCGGGACAAACTGAGCCTATGAAAGCGAGACAAATTGAGCAAACAAATGTTACAGTAAAATCTACAGTCATAGAAAATGTGACGTTGCCGGAGGAATATGACACTGAAGCTTTAGAAGACGAGATATGGAAAAAACAGGTCAGAGTTTCAACTTCACGACGTATTTTGTTTCGTGTTTAAATGTTCAGTTTACATAATTAAGTCATGTTTTAGATCGCGTCAGAATATCACCAAAAACGAATTAATTTTATCACACAACAAGGAGGCCTCTCTTCAGTAAGTTAATTGCAAAATGTCATTAATTCTATTACTTTATTGATATTGTGTATTTTAATTCACAGGATGAAAGTCAATTACCGCAATCAAGTGAGAGACCCAAGAAGGTTTCTAAGTTTAAAGCTGCTCGATTGCAGTAGATATGATGATCAATTAGTGATGACCGATCGTGACCTATCATAAAAAATTGTTTTGAGTATGATCGGTAGATAAGTGGTCGATCATTAAATAGTTATGCCCCACACCATACATCACTCGTATTCGCTGCACGTTA